TGTTCTTCCTGACGTCAATAGTAGGGAGCCAACCCACGCATTTGTATTTGGCTCAGTAAAATGGCCGCTGGTTGGCTTCTTTTTCATACAAAGGCGTTGCAAGTCCAGGTTTTTTTTATATAGGGCCTACGTCCGTGACCATCACACGTACTGTACATACAGTACACGTACAGTACGTATGTATGTGCATGTACACTGTACAAGTGCATCTACATGTACAGGGCGCTATCGCCACACAAATCGTCATCGCAGGAAGATAACGATTCGTGTGATGATAGCGCCCCCTAACAGTGTACGTGTGTGGTTCGTGTCCAGGAATAACTACTGGAAGGTCTTGGAGCCAATACTAACGAGCCCCTAGCATGAAGAAGGGACCGGGGGAGGGGGGTGTGAACGATGATATGTAGCCCTTAATGTACAGCTGTCATTTCTGTATAGGGCCTATTTGGGCTACTCAGGCTTATGCCACATATTACGATCGCATTATGCGAGTGCAACCAATTACCCTCACGATTTGTACCAAAGCTCTAATTATACGTGAATTATAATGTATACATTCTTGTGGCGTGTAAGGGCGGGACTCGAAATTTTGGATATAAATTCACCCGGATCGGAAAATGGCAGGAATAAATTATGCGCTAATGACGGTGAACTTGTAGACAAATTGAATTGTCCCTTTTTAATATTGCATGCTGAGGATGTCGTTGCACGAAGCGACGCAGGGCCTACAGGCTAATCAAGCCCAACGTGTCTTGTGCTAATGACTCTGTGTCGGAGACGGTGCATAGTCTCCACGCCACGGCCGAACAACTCAGAAAGAACCACCGAACCTAACGGTCCCTGATGCATTAATTATACATATTCAATTGAGCTGTGACAGATAGGCCATGTAGGGCCTATAGTTGTTTCGTCAAATATAAAGGGCCTCTTTTATGTACCTCTTATCGTTGGAACATTGATAATTAATCTCGAGTCAAATGAGGAATGGTTTTTGTGGTTTAGAGTGATGGCAAGACAACAGTGCCTATTTTCTAAAAAGCCTCGTTGCTAATGTAACTGAAGTTCTCCGGAATAAACCCAGCCACCGATTGTTGTCTGCAATTTATGGACCCAGTACCAAGGATAACAAAAGCAAAATTCAGACAAATACAATTGTTGATTTCATCTGCTGTAGTAAATTTATTGTCCATTAGGCGCTAGATCATCTCAAAACGATACACTGTGAAGGAAGTACGCTTATGTTTTCTCTTAGTTTTCAACAACAGTAATAGATTTTCCAATGTTCTTTTTAAACAAAAGTCGGGATAACTTGTTTTATCTTGTTCCTCTTTTTATGCCTCCAATTCACGACCTGTTGGAAAGATAAAATGTTTTGCCTAAAATACGACTTGCAGCACATGGGTTTACAGAGAAATAATTTTCTCGCAGAAACCACGAAGTGCCCCTTCATCTAAATAATCAAAATTTAATGCTGTACTTCTTCAATGTGTGATCCATCTGCGATAATGATCTGATTGGGTTGGTAGTTATTTCGAGAAGTTGTAATGATAGAAGATGAACATACAATTAGCTCTCCATTTGTGTCGAATTATCATAATTGACAACATTAATAATGTATCCCCATCTAATGGGCCATGATGACACTGAGACTTATGTCCAATGTATTTTTTGACTAATTTAACGTTATGCTCCATTTTAGTGTCTTTTGTTTTCGTAATACTCCTGGAAATTCATATCTTGATTAGCAAAATTTGAGATTTCATTTGACGAAAAATCACACTTTAATTTCAGCATTAGAATTTGCCAGAATAAGGGCGATTCTCAATAGTGCGCCTGCAAGAGTTGACGCGTTGGCCAATCACAACGCGCGAAATCTGTCGACCCTTTCCAAACGTGCATTGGGCCGACAGATCTCGCGCATCGTGATTGGCCAACGCTATTGCGAAACGCCCGTGTTCTTGATGCCTTAATTTTTCTCTTTTCTCTGATGATTCATTTGCTAAATGTTAGGACAGTGCGCTAGTTCTAAAGCGACATTTTCTCCAAAATGTTTTCATTTAGCAAATTTTACAGTTCCATAATTTGAAAATAGCCCCGAAAATGAAAGGTTTCTCCTGAAGTCATGTCATACAATTTGTCAGAAAAAGTCTGGATACATTAAGAAGAATATGTGTGTAGGCTATGTGTCAGTCGATAAGATTAACCAAACGGATTGTCAAATAGTTTTCAGGCGTTTCTGAAGAGTTTTGTGCACAATAGTTATGTTCGCAAGTAAAATTCACGTCGCAAGCCCTTTTACGTACGTAGCTAATCAAGTTAGACAGCTGGCAGATATGCTTCCGAATTTAACGGCTTTACCGTCGACATGAACTAGCGTGTTCGCTGGCTGCGGTGTTTTGCGCAGGAATTAATCAGCCCGATGGGCGAGCACCGCGCCCAATGACTAGTCTCGCCGTTAATCGCGTCAGATCGCCGGGAAAGCCCGGTAAACATCCATCGCTAACCATGCGTGGATTCCACATGATGTTACCAGTTACGACCGTGCACAGAGCTGCAGAACGAAGGCACGCCCCCAATTGGGGCCAGCCACCGCACACAGATCGGAGTGTTTCGTTTCTAATGCATAAGTAAACAAGGTCACATAGGAAATCCGAGACTGAAGGCAAGCGATTTTGTGGCCTTGCTCTTTCAAAATCGCGGTGATCAAAGTATTCCTAACGAGGTCAAGGCACTATGCTTGTGGTTTTGGGCATAATCTTAGTCAATCTAGAAGTACAACTTTTTTCCAAAATTGGGTAAAAATGGTAGCCGCATAACAAATATGATAAAATCAACTGCTTGACGTATAAATAACGATACGTTGTCGTTTCGTACTGAGAAATGGATGAACCTTAAAACCATTTTAGTTTCTATATCTGACGTGTGGCTCTTGGAGTCACATTGTAAATATTAGCCAAACATGAACACTTGTTGCAACGACCAGTGACTTTGAATATCCGTGAAATTTACAGTGAAGAAGGTCCTTTCTTTCTGTAGACTGATAAGGCTAGCATAACTTGTAGCCATTCATTACTGCGGCGATACAGTTCTCGTGGACAGGTTGTATACGAAATCAATTACCGAGCAATTGGATGCTTCCCAACACGTGTGTGAGGTTGGTGTTACTGCAATCAGGTTACGGGCCGTGTTCGACTTGGTTATGGCTTAAGATAAGATTCGAGACTATTATGGTGGTGGTTCAAGCCGCCTCCCACCCAGTTGAGTGTAATTTCTAGCCGCTGCTAAGTAATTCGGACTGTGCCCAGTTGACCGTCATCTCACACCAAATTGGGACATCCTTGAGGCCCTTGTGAAGGCTAGGCCTACATGAGCATGAAAGTAAACACCTATGTGAACTCGTTACTAAAACGCTGTAATTCTCTCAAACTTTCTTTCTACACAGGTATCCTATGTGGCAGCCTACAGCCTCCATTGCAGCCACTGGATCCTACAACCTCCCCAGTCCTGGTAGCGGAAGCACGGGGGTAGCCCTACCCGTGCCACCTCGGTCTCTCTTCCCCTTCCACAGTCCATCTCCATTACCCCTACCTCCTTTCCCCCCGGGTGTGGGACCTCAGTGTCTGCGTGTGCCGATCCCTTTACACCAACTCCCCCGTCCCTTGCACCCCCACCACCGCCACCATCTTTCCCCAGAATGCGACCCACTGCCAGCCGCCAGCATCGGCGCCGCTACCGCCACACCGAAACCCTCCGCGCCTACTGTCACTGTGAGCGCCTCGGCCGATCGGGTGGCAACTCCTTACCTCGGCCTGGCCACGTCAACTAGCGCAAGCCTGCTGCACACCGCCCTGCCACTCCCGCCGGAGATCCGTCGCCCGCTGCCGTTGGTGTACAACTTCACAGCGACCGAACTAGACAACGTCTTGTACGGTTACGTCAGACCTTCGAAGGAACCGCCTTGTGGTCTGAGGTGCGCCCTGTCTGGTCTGAGAATTCAAGAAACAGGTAAGTCCATAATAAACAATTTTTTTAAAAATCACAATCTAAGATCCAAATTGTGCGCAATGCAGTTATTTTTTATTGCCCAAACAACTTTATTGTCTTTTTCTGCCTGGCAGATTGATAGTTATATTGGATTTACGAGGCTTCACGCTTTTCCGGTATTACATTTCCACAGGAAATAATTAGGCCCCCCCTTGCCTTTCGCTCATTGCATTTGAAAAAAATGCCCAGGATCCAGGCCAATGTTTCCTCCTACGGCGCTTTTGGGCTAAATTTCCAGCTGCAGCCGGCCTCGCACGGGCCATCCACGCGGCTGGCCTGCTTGGTGTCACGCTTGAACGGGGCCCGGGCTGGCCTGTTTGATCGATGGCTGGATCGGCAGTCAAAAGCTGGTTCAGTCCCTGGTTGGAGTGCCTCGCGCGTCCTTGCACAATGCCGTTACGGTTAGTCAAGCAGTAACACAAAAATGTGTTGAACTTTAGATGGTCTTGGAACTGTGAGGATAGTTTAAAAAAAATTTTAAACAGCTTTTTGGACACTTCAGAGTTGTAATCAGTCAGGCAGTGGTCAACCACCATCCGATGGGAGCATGCGTGTGTGTTGGCAGTAATCTCGTAGGCATGTCAAACTTACAAGTGGCAAAATGTTTTATCACAACCGGTCTTTTCTCTCTACTGTCTTCAACGTAACCCACAGCGTTAATTTTTTTACCGACATCAGGTATTACAGCATCTAATATTCTCCCATTGTACATGTGCCTTCCAAGGAAATCTGATACCACTCAAAACTACCTTTATTTTTCCAATTTCGTCCATTATTCCAAAAGATCTTCGGATGCACAGAGGAGAAAATAGGAAGAGGGCGTCTCTATAGAGAAAGGATTTGTAGTGCAGACTGGACATGAGAAATCAGAAACATGAATTCTTTGCGGGCAATTTTGGATTTGAGCAGCCACGTTCACCACTTTGGGGTAACATGCGAAGATGTTGCCAAGTTCCCTTTTTCGGGGCGAATAGCTAAAAAAGCCGGGACTTCATAGCGGAGAACAGCGGCTGTGGATTCTTGTGGACCCTGGCCGCGACTGTTAACAATCCTTGCAAAGAACTTTATTATTCAATTTCCTCCGCCGAAAAGGCCAGCACAAAGGTAGAAGACAAAATCACCGCATTAGCGGCCTGTGGGTTGTTAAAGAGTGAGGTTTCAAAAGTGTGCCTCTTGCCTTTGTTGTGGGAGCCTTTAGGGATTGTTGAAGCGGGATGGGGGCGGTAGATCCCTCCGGCCTGAGCCCCATAGACCACCAGCACTGTCGCACTGTTTGCTGAAGGAGCCCCGAAATGAGTTGAAGGGATTACACGATTGTTCTTTTCTTGATAGGGAGCGGTCTTAGGGAGAGGATGAACTCCTTGAGGAATTTGTTGTTTTTCTTCCAGTTGGGGTGCATGCGTGCGAGCTACTGGTGTTCTCCACCAAATATTGCTGTTGGCATTGTAGTCTAAGTTGCTGTAGTTAGTCTATTAGTCATTCTTAGCACGAACTAGTCAAGAGTGAGACAGCACTTGTCCGGGTTTCTACCTTCTATTTTCCCTCTTTTCTCAGTAGATTAGCTCTTCAATTGTCGTAAACGGCACCTATGTGTCAACGCAGCGTAATAAATGACTGTGTTTGTCTCCACTAAGTATAGTCCTGTTTTGGCAGGACCTACTCAGTCCTAAAGTAAAGAAGTTCTTCGTATGTAACAAGATTTTTTGGACGAGGCAGAAGCCCTTTTGGCGAAGGTCTGCTTATATTCATGTGATCCAAAGAGACGCACTAATGGCTGAAGAACCTTTAATAATTTTATAACAACTTGGAATGGAAATAAATATCTTTTATTAAAATGGCTCACAGACCTTCGCAGCTTTCCTGGAAGTTGCTGGGTTCTTGAGATGATTTCGTTTCCCTTTTCTAAGCCTGGCAAATGTCTTGTATGGGTTGATGGGTTCTGTTCCAATCCCATCTCTTTGTCAAATTCAATTTTAACACACGGTGGTCTTTTTGATTATTGGGGCAACTTTAGTTGCCCATGTACTGTAATTGAACATACCATGGGTACGAATCGCTTTTGAAAAGCGTGTGTGAGGGGACCTTGATCATCAATGAGCGCGAAGCTCGAAGCCCTAAAGGCGCCCCGAAAATGTTGGACTGTAGATGCTCTATGGTGCAATCTGAAGCAATGTCTGACTCTTCCTATATTATTTCGTTTAGCAAATCTGGTTGCGAGATTGATTACATTATTGTTCGTATTAAAAATGTGATGTAAGTTGGAACCATTTTGTCCGTCGTCCCAACTTTACACCCCACAAGGCAAAAGATTTGGCATATCAAATAAGCAACTATAAATCAATAATGTTGGCCTACGCCCATTACATGTTTTTATTCAGGCTCCAGAAGAAAAGTGGAAGGGTGGGGGGGCAAACAAAATAATCTCTCGAACCTGAAAAGGGGGTGGGGTGGGGCATTCCCCCCTCCCCTACCTAAATGCCCATGGAATATGCTCTATAAATTTATCCTTTTTATTGTATTAAAACATAGATATTTATAAACTCTTTCTCTTTGTTTATGTTTTGAGGTTTTATATTTCATGCAAATAGGATGGACAAACTAATTTGTGTGTTACCTCTACCCTCAGTGAACAGCTGTGCGTGGCAGTGATGCTAAACAGACCTAATCAACGGTCTTTAATTCTCTGACAGCCGGTTAATTTCAGTGGCTTGTTCCTATTCATAAAGCTTAATTTTTCTACGAGACGATGATGAATCGAATAATTGGTAGCCAGGCATAATCATTAGTATTAAGTCTCATAAAACGAACTAGTTTACCGACGGTTTTGTCACTTCTCTGCAGAGAATTTTTGCTTGATTGGTTGGGTGCGAAGTCGTGCATTACTAGCGTGCATTATACGAATTTTCTGACTCCGTTTTGGCAAAGAATGATCGGGAATGGAGTAAGCGCAATAACTAGTGATTACTTTGAGGAACGAAAACCCATCCCTTGGTATATCCTTGCTCTATGGTCCACGGAGGATCTGATCAGAACAGTTGTCCACGCGATCCATCACACGACCGGTCCCTCAGCAGAACGATGGTGCGGGCTCTGCGCAGCGCACACCCTACGGTCGGCTGCTCATTTTATCGCTTACCATATATATATATATCAATCCTGTCGTTAGTGAATAGGCCGGTAATTGCTTGGACAAGCATCGCACAGAATCCGCACAATAGGCCCCTCCTAGCAAGTCACTTCAGCCTTGTCTTCGGGGGTTAGTAAGGTGCACAATAGATGGACGGTGTGCAGTTAATGACAAACAAACCCTCCAGGCGATGTAGTTGGGGGCAGAAAGGGGTGGGACATTAATAAGAAGAAAACATCATCCACCCTTTCTTTTTCGGCAAGGGGAACAGATCTTCTTAAAAGGGTAACAGTACCCTATTGGAGTAGTCACTTAGGGGATGTTATCTTCAGGGTAAACAGTTTTAAGTGTGGGATTCAACCTCTTATCCCCTCACAACTAGAGGCACGTTTAGCAAATCGCAGGTCTTTCTTGCAGCGCTGAAAGGGCTTTTGAGAGCGAAGTTTATTTGTTAGGCACGATGACGGGCGGACACTGTATGGTGCAGGCAGGTGTGGAATAGCAGGCTGATGGACAAAAGAAGAATGAACAGTTTCAATCTAAGGAACACTCATTAGTTCCAAGGCTAACATAGTCGCAGATTTGTCAGCTGTTTTTAAAACAGGGGTATATTGTTTTGGTGCGTATTTTCTTGAAAAAGCAAAGTCCTGAAGCTATAGTTCACCCTTTCTTAGATTTGCGAGGCAAAACAACACTTCGGTGTCTGCCGCCCTCCAGCGATGACGAAGTAAAGGGCGACAAAGGCGAAACTACCCCCGAGAGGGCGCACTCTGCTGTAGAACGCGAAAAATCAACATGCCGATCGCCATTGGACATCAGAACTGTCAGTCTGCCCGAAGGTAAAAAAAGTCCTAATGAAAAAAACAAACCACCGTTTCAAAAAATTGGGTTGAGCCCAAATACTGTTCGCATATTTTTCATTACATCAAGACAGCCAGGCAAGCGTTTATGCAGGCTATCACAAACGTCTTAGATTTTAGTCGGGAGCCTGAAAAGTTGATCTGTTAGAGATATTTGCACTGATGACTGGCCTATCTCAAAGCTGCCCATGGCAGTGACAAAAGCCAACACGGTTTGTTTCTCGTTTCCTACAGGTATATCAATCACCCAGACAACTGTTGGAGGTTTCCCCCACTACAGTGTGTTCAGTCACACCATAATGATCGCTAAGGGGACACGGTTTGGCCCCTTCACGGGCCGCGTCATCCACCCAAGCGAAATCAAGAGCAGCGACGACACGAGCTTCATGTGGGAGGTGGGAACTAGAGAGAAAGACCCTAAACCCCCCCTTCCCGCTTCAGTCATAGTCTCCCCTTCACAAGTTTAACTTCAGTAAAAGTACATTCACCTCCGTCCACCCAAGGCTGGTGTTATGACGTTCTCAGTTATTCAACTAGACTCATTATTACTTGCTTGAAGAAGGAACTATTACCGTGCGTTTAATTCACATGCATGATATGTTGAACGGTAAGTGGAAAAATTTCAACACTGGAGGTCGCTAAACTACATAGACTATCCAGCCTCCTCAGCAAACCGTGCTGCAAATTATAACTGGATTTCATAGCCCCGGCGCTCTGCATGTTAAGTCAGGCGAACGATCGATCGGAAGCAACCCAGCGTAGCATAAACATGCGCACTGCGGTGTGTGTAAATACCGTGACCAGTCCCTGACAAGAAACAAGCACCGAACCTATAAGACGCCGAGAGCTTTCCGGGTATCTTATCCGTGACACGGGCTGGCTGAGTCAAGCGTTGGGGATGCCAATCCACCGGCAGACCCTAGTCCCTCTGGAACATTAGGGGGGGGGGGGCTGCGCGGAGCTCATGAAATATGCAAGGAGAGGATGTATCAGTCAAGGGCGATGAGATGCCGGGATGTGCCACTCAGGCGTATTCGAAGCTATGAGAAGCGGCAAACTTGCATACCTTTTGCTTCAACAGTCAATGCACGAATTCCAAGGGGGTCGGGATCGCTGTGCGGATGGCTCGAATGGGGGACTCTCATGAGCAATTTCGTTGTATGTTTGAATTGAGGTGACATACGGTTGTCCCCGGGGAAATTTTGCCCGAAAGCCCTGGCCACTTTATCTAATGCCACTAGTTTTTGAGACCGTTGGGATTTTAATGTACTTTCGAAGGTTAATGCCATTTGACTTGAGGTTGCGGTCAACATTATGAGGGATTAAAAAAGTGACACGGTACGTAGGAGGTTGATAAAGAGGTTGTTTGTGTGGGTATCTCATGTTTCTTTTATCAGAGGGCGTCATTTGAATAACCGCAAATGTTTTCAAAGAATCTTCTTTCAGCTTTCCCATGTCGTAGTTCTAAGACTGAGAGCGCTCCTCCAAAAACCAATGAAAAATTGAGACAAAGTCAGTTATGGAAATCAGAAATAAAATTGAAAAACTGTGTAAGAGAATTGATACCAGAAACAAACTGCCTTATTTTGAAAGGAAAATAAACATTTTTTTGCGGCCAAAAGGTGAAAACCATTGATACGTCTACTCGGGATATCAAACACCATACTTACCCTCTTGATACAGGGAAAACAAACCATGTCTTGAGCTGTAGGTTAGTGGGTACACCTGTCCTTGGAATCTGTCTCTTCAGAAGATGCGTGGTTCTGAGAAGAACCGGTGAGTAGAGCCACACCTCTTCTGAGGAGACAGTTTCTTCAGGAATCAAGAATCAAGTCCTGTCACTTGAAGCATCCAAGTAGCTACCAGAGCCCAGTCTTCCCCCCTGTATTTTGCCTCTCAACAACTCCTATCGACAAGAAGATCTCACCTGAGATCTCTGTTCATCTTCCAGTCATCGATCATCGCATCGTGTCAGCGTTCTCACAAATGATCCAGCGGTGTTGTTAGTTCTCTCCGACACAACGGCTGTAGCCGGTGCCGGTTTCCATTCCCCGAGAAGCTTACTTCATTATCTCAAGTCATTTAGGTCCCTATTAGCTTATGGTACCTCATGCGATCAGTCATTAAGGAGGTGATTTGTCTCCGTTCTGTACAGATGAGACTATAATTTGACAAATCACCGTGTAGGGGCCTTGAGGGAAGCATTAACGGGGGATAATATACAAGAATTAAGATAAAAAAGGCCTTCAGCCATGGTTCATCTTATCGCAAAATGGAATGTATTTATCATTTCAATATCTTTTCACCAGAGCGTGAATTTTTGGGGCTCCAGGCCTAGCAGTTTAAATCCAATCAAAATTGAGGCATTTTTATCAACAAAAATATGCAATATTTTTCAAATACTGATAGCCACTTTAATTTTTCATGAATCGAGGGCTTTTCTTGACGAGTGTCTCAAATTCGGAATTATTCCTTCTTATTTCAGATTTTCCACGACGGGAAGTTAAGCCACTTTGTGGACGGCCGGAATGGTGCAAGCAACTGGCTGTGCTTCGTGAATTGCGCCCGCCATTCTCAGGAACAGAACCTGGTAGCCACGCAGAATGGAGAGTACATCTATTACGAGGCCTGCAAGGATATCCCAAGGGTGGGTACCCGACTAATCTAGCCATGGACCTTTTCGTTGTGTTCTCAAGCTATGATCGGTTGACTGGAATGTGACGTCAAAATACGTCTGTTGTTTTCTCCTCAGTCTACCGATTCAGTTATTGACATGGACAACAACATGGAAAACTGCAATAGAAGCAATTAAGATAAAAGCGACAAATTGGTGATAATTTTTTCTGACTGGGATCATCATCGGCGAGTTATGAAAAAGTGTAAACAAGTTCTTACCACACCGTCTTAAATCTATCAACCAAAGGAGGAAGAATTTGAACATGATTAAGTCGAAAGCACACGAACACAATCAGCGCTGCCGCTCAACATAAATTATAAAGTAACGAGTGATGAATTTCACCCTTTTTTCATCTGCAGGGTTCCGAGTTATTGGTTTGGTACGGTGACAGCTACGATCAATTTCTGGGCATTCCTGTTTCTCTGAAGGGCATGACAGCAAGCAAAGCCACTGCGGAGAGCGATAATTTACAGAGTAAGTTAAACATGGCCCACGGGACGCCGAGAAGCCTCAGCCACAATAATGGCGCACAAGTAGACAGAACAACCATTCGCCGCACTTTCTGACCGCCTCTAGGGTGAAGATGTTGCCACAATGCATGCATAATTAAGATACGCTATCAGGCTTTTCAAATAGAGTATGGCTTTCGATTTCAGCAGAGTTCATTGACAATGATATTGGCTAGGCTTTGCTTGCTTTATAAGCCTCTTGTTCGTCTGCTTGAGTGATCATTTCCATGTGATCCTGCGTAAATTAAGTTTGAAGAACGTTTTTTTGGTAAATTCCTTCACTTTTAATTTCATTCATCATAAGTCGGAACCACTTTGCTCAAAGGCTACTTCGTTGGACAGCAATTAGAAAATGACCCCTACTCAGCGCTTGGGGTTCAAGGAATCAAACATGATGGAAAGGGAGGGGTGAAAGCCATTTACGCTTATTTAGGTATTTGGGAATTGGTCCAACATGTATAAATCGAAATGTACCTGATTTATAATTTTAAAAAGTATCTCCCCGAGCATTTAATACGCTGGCAAATCTCCAAGGAGGCAGACATCTATGCGGGAGACGGACAGTCTAGGTTTTACTCCCCAATTGTCCAGGTAGGGCATTTAAAAAGAGGGCAGGCCTCAAGTCAGGATATCCTAAGCCAGGCTTTGCGGTGCGGTGGCCGATCCGTGTACTCTGTCATTCTCCTGAGCTGGGATCACCCAGGATTAATCTGCTCATTCCCAATCACTGGGCGTGCATCTCCGCGACCGCCCGCAGCTGACTCATCGCCCTGAACTGCAATTTGCCGCTTGACTTGATGCCCCTAACGTCGACAAACTATACCCTTTGATTGAGCTCGGGAACAAGCCGATCACATTATTCTACAGCCACGTGATTTCTCAAACACAAGCTCCAAAAGTGATATGTTATGCTTTGCATCCCAGTCAAGTATCACAGGAACCGATTTTCCAGTTCAGAAACAGAATTGCGGACTAAGAGCAAAACCGATGCAAAGCTGACATGCATAAGATGAGCTCATCCAATGCAGAGCAGCACGAATGTTCCTTTTGCTTTACCATTAAACACCATTTTGGGCCCATTACGTGGATTACTATGAGCAACTTCAAGCTTTCTCGAAATAACTGCGAGGTTTTCCTTTCTCACCTAAAAACTTACATTTTCAATGTGCCCATTTCTGTTGGGACATGCCTTGCAATACGAGAATTGACATTGAACCCATGGCAAAACTCTATCGAGAAAATAAACTGGAGGACCCTATTGTATTTCTTTTTAGATAAGGAAGGTTACAAGTGTGACCGATGCGGGAAGGTCTTCTCCTACAAGGACTACCGAGATAAACACCTAAAGTACACCCGCTGCGTGGACAAAGGTGACCGGAAGTTCCCCTGCCACATGTGCACGCGGTCTTTCGAGAAACGCGACCGGCTCCGTATTCACATCCTCCACGTGCATCAGAAACATCGGCCTCACAAGTGCTCAGTATGTGGCAAGAGCTTCTCACAGGTAAAGTATTCTCCGAGGTTGGGGAGGGGAGGGATGAGGTATCTCTCCCCTGCCCATTGATTTCAAGATGGGCACACTGGCGCTGAATGCAGTGGCGTCAAGGTGGCGAAGTTTCTCGGTGGTATCGGGGATGCACTTTCTTTTCATTATATTCATTCCTTTGTTTATCTAGGAGGGGACCTTCCTCCATGGGTAGCCCTTGAAAGAGTCTAAGCTGGTTTCCAATGGGGCTCTGCATTTCAAACATGCAAACACTTACTTAAAAATTAAAAGAGAATAAAGATTAAGATAAAAATTAAAACAAAAGATGAAATGACAACCCACTTGGAACGGGGTAAAAAACAAGAGCAAAGTTACGCTGTTTCAGAATGAAATAACGATCAATAGATAAAAACCATTCATTAATTATCCCATGCAAAGTTGAATGCAACAGTCTGAAACCAGATTGAGAGGCAGAAATCAAGTTGTTTCCATGGCAATATGTATACAACGCACTATGGACTGCCCTTTTAAGAATTTTTGAAACAAGTGGTAAGATGGAGATCGGCTGATAGTTGTCAATGTTATACTTGTCTCCACCTTTGTGGGTGGGAATGACTGAAGCGTGCTTCCATGCATCAGGATAGAGACCACTTCTTACAGACAGGTTCAAAACGTGGGTGAGTGCCCTAAGGATATGAGGACAATAAGGTGCAAGTTTAAGAAACTTACACGATTGAGACCAGTTGCTTTCCCTGTTGGCATTAGGTTTATCTGCTCTCTGACGAATTCTTCAGTAATAACTGGGAATAAAAATTGTTCAGTATCACAGCGAGGGCTATCACTTTCCTCGCTGTCAGAGACATGGGTTGGATATTACTCTTTGCCAAGCGCTCACCAGTTGTTGAGAAATGGTCAATGAATATACCAGCCACTTGTAATGGATTGGTCAAGTGTACTTTGTTTTTATTTTAAAATGTCGAAGGGGAGGGGGCAGAGCAAAAACATTCGCTACCGCTTCCGCCTCCCGTTGTTACGACGATAAACGGCTGATCTTTTGTGGAAACGCATAGTGGGTGGATGACCTCATTCGATGACGTCATGACCTGACATGGAGGAGGCCTCCACCTGTCCTACCGTACTTAATCTGTAGAGGTAGCCGTGTCCGTTAGACACAGCCACAGATGTCTAATTCAGACACCTTCAGCTACGATCCTTAACTATTCTGATTTTTTTTTCCGATCAGGCTCTTATGTTCACGTTGATAATTTGTCATTTCTTTTGGGAGTATTGATGGACACAACGGCGGTGTGAAGTTACTGAAAATATTATGACAATAATTCCAAAATAGTACCTATTTTTGTCGCAAGATCTCTCGTCAAAAAGAAGGAGCGGAGGGTTTTATCAAACGATCGCTTATTCCCCGGTGTGGAATCTCGACTGAAGCAATCTCTATCGTATGTATGATTAATCTGTCTCGGGCAGTTGGGGGAAATGCTATCCGGAGTTCATTTCGTCTGTATACGGAACGCAGTGTCAGATCTGACACTTCGGGCACACTGTGGGTCCGTCGGGCGTGCGGTGTTTCGGCGTGCTGGCGCAGTGCTGCAATGGGGCTCGCTCGTGTCTATCCTAGGCCCCGTCAAGCGCGTTGCTCTAAAGGTGATCATCAAAAGGGACTGTGACGCGTTCAAGCGAAGCCAAAAGAGAGATAAGATGTGAGCTTCAGTTCCTGTGAAATATGCAAGCGGTTTTTACCACCAAACCAAAAAAAGGCTATGATTTATTCCTGTGCAACTGGAACAAAAGTTGAAGAAAGCGTGACATAAGACTTATCTTATACACGTGTATTTTGCTTTGTGCCATACAGTTTGGACTTGATAAAGACTAGTGAGAATGTAAATTGCACCTGTTTTAAATAAAACAGAAACAAACAAAAGATCATGACCTAAGATAATTGGACAATTTCTAATTGAATTCCAGGTTGGAAAGATGTGACTTTTAATATTTGATCTTAGGTAAAACTCGCAAGAGCTTGCAGTGAATCAGAGCTGTAGCTAGGCCTTTAGAGAGAGTGTAATGACAACTTGAGACTTTGGAACCAACATGGCTGTTCAGTAAGTGCTCAGTACAGCTTGTGGTTAATGTGTGCTAATACTAATTGTTCATGTGCACAGACGCATAAACAATCATTCTGGTTCCAAAAAAGGAGGCACTCATGTCGCAACTCGCCACGTAAACAGCTCTGCTGTGAATTGTAAAGCAGCGCCCCCTCTCGGCAGCTCTCGTTTCCCGTTGGTGCCAAAGCCTGGTCTGTCAGGAGCACCTTTGTGCGCTCCAAATGCATTCCGTGACGACCTCGTTTGTCCAGGCGCGAACGCCGCATGTCACAAGGAGTCTCCCTGGGACATACCGGCTGGGGGTCGATAAAGGGAAAAACAAACACAGAGAAACACAGGAGGCGACGTGCTAACTTCTCCTTCGCGCGCCCGCTGCGACACGCCTCGTTTATTGCTTATGTTGGGCCGGATTGATGGGCTTGTCTGTATGTAATGCTAGCCCAGACCGAGATTGCGGATTAAAATTGCATGAGAGGACTGCCATGTTCCCGCCTGATTTATTGCTGATTGCCTCCACCAAAAAAGACTTGACATTATCACAAGTATTTTGTTTTTCTACGAAGGATCGTCGCAGTAAATACGTCTTGCATTGCAGTCATGATGGGATGGATACACTCGTATACTTGGAAGAGCGAGTTAACCAAACAAATTTCTTGGTTCGGAGATAAGTGAAGAACGACGAGCAAATTAAACAGCAAAATACATGGAGTGCTCCCTGCTGACAGAGGGTCTGGGTCTATACATAATCATATTGCTCCACTTTCAGCAAACTACAATATTACGCAAGAATTGCTTGCTTTTTTGGAATGCAGCACAAAACATGAGACTGCTTCTTCCTTTTGGGAAGATTTTTATCAATGGGACTAAATCTTAAAACCTGCATTTATAAGCGCACATGGAAAGTAGTCTTTATTCACCATGAGGCGGAACTGGTTTGATGTAGAATTCAACCGGGCGGCTTATCAAAACTGAATGGACTCAGTGTTGGTATGTTCACACCAACCACTGTTTTCTATTCCGCCTGATAATAAAAACTGGAAAAAACCACGTCTTGAAAAACGTCTTAGCTTACCTTGAATGCAATATGTTTTCGTTTCTCTCTTGCATCTTACTGCAACGCTCGGGCTACCAAAGCGTAGTTATTTGACTCCGCGCTGAAACGTCCCAGGCATCTGGCCAAACACAGCATATGCATTTATTATTTCCCCAACGTGTGCAGTGCTCACTGCACCATCTATTGCTTCAATTCAGATCAGTAAATGGATATTTTACTCGTATCCATCTGGGATGAAGTCCACCCGAGGTTGCTTGATGACGCGAAGACCTCAGATGAGTTGACTTTATCCCAATATTCTCTCTCGTGCAAAAACATAATATTACTGATAAATAATTGACAGCACCTGGCAAGCACATCCCAGGGCATGATCAGATTAATGGACCCAGTGACAGCTCTTAACAGTTTTCGTGGAGCACTCTGAATAAAGAAAGTGTTGCATTAACACCGTTTATTTGACAATGCATGGTCTTAATTATAGGTTAAGTGTTTGCAGGCAGTGTACATGATTATTGATTATATCATAAAAACAGCAGTGGCAGGATTTTGTATTAAAGAATAACAAACAATAGACTGCAAGAAACAGCAAAAAAGGGACGTTTCCAACTGCTTTGAAAACGATTTTTCCAATTTTGAGCAAATAGTTTGCAGGGCAGTATAGTTGCATTCAACAGTAAGCAGTCTTCAGGGGTCATTTTTTTTTACACCTTCGACCGACGAAATCGCTTTGGAAGAGGGAGGGTGTAGGCAGTCGATGCCGCTGATCACAAGACAAGCGAACATCTGGAAAATGGATTCACGTGGGTTGTTAATGATGATGTTGGTCATCATATCAGGTCTGAGTTGCGTCTACCCACGCACGCGACCGCGATCACGAGCGTGACCGGGGAATGGTATATTGACACGGCAGTTACTGTAGTAGGTTTTTCCATGGATCATGGCTAGTCGCTGAGCTCGAGTTCACCATGTCGCTAAAAATTAGGATTACCCCTAACTGAAATTTGGAGCAACAAGCACCTGATGTCTTCATTGACAATCATCTCCATTTCCCTTTGGAGGGGCAAAAAGGGTTGAAAATCTCCTGTTCCATTTCTATGACACTCTCCAATCCTCAATAGGGCCTGAGCTTGCCTCTGTGCCTTATATTGTTTTAAACACCCGTCATTATGCAGGTCAAGAAGCCATAAAGACTAGTTAGGCGACCGGGATTAGACGGAAGCCATCTCAAAGATGGATTTGCGCCGGGGAGATGAAATTAATTTTGGATTTTTGCCCTGCCCGACGTGTATTTTAACACTCTATGTAGCAGCGAAAGATGAAGAGGTAATTTCATCTCCCCGGCGCAAATCAATCTTTGCGTTACCCACTGCTACATCTGATTCGAACCAGCCAGCCGACATCGGCAAGCTCGGTGGTTGAGTGGTTAAGACGTCCGCACTAGTAAGCTGGAGGTCGTGGGTTCGAGTCCCACCCGAGTACGCTTGTGGTTTTTTCACAAGCCTTCGGGGGGCATACACTGAGTGTATACAGTGTTACAAAATACACGTCGGGCAGGGTATAAATCCACCATTAGACGATTAAGGGTGGCATGGTACTTATGAAGGTGTTGTGACGCCAAACGCGCGCATACACATGTGCGCGTGAGTGTGGTGCTCCTGCAGTTCGGGTCAGACAATGCGTCATATACATACTCAATAGTCGCGTACTTCGGTTCTTGTCCTACCAGTTTGAGAGTTACACGAGCTGCAACTCCTGTATGTTGCAACTGCAATTTAGTGCCAAGGTGTTTTCTCTCTCTCACTTAGTCCTCTAGTCTGAATAAGCACATCCGAGTCCACAGCGGGGAGAGACCTTACAAGTGCGTCTACTGCAGCAAGGCCTTCACTGCGTCTAGTATCCTGCGCACACACATACGCCAACACTCGGGAGAAAGACCGTTCAAATGTGAGTCACCAGTCGCTTGCAAAGAATACCTCAGACATTTTTACATACACTATACATGTAATATTACACACTAGGCCTACTCGCTGGTGATTTCACAAGTACATGTGCTAGTATTTTTAATGGTGCATGAGCGGGGCCCTAGATTTCTGGGCAGGCCTCTCCACTGAAATGAGCATTAAATATTTTCCACATGAACCTTAAATTATTCTAATGCTGCTCGTATCGTATCTGATCCTTTTTCTTCATTTCAGGCAAACATTGTGGGAAGGCCTTCGCGTCACATGCCGCACATGATAGTCACGTGCGCCGGACACACACGAAGGATAAACCCTGCGCATGCCCAGTTTGCGGCAAGACGTTCAGCCAGAGCTATGAACTGAAATTCCACATGAACATTCACCCAGGTTGGTGGTTGTGGAAAAGACAAACTACGGGAATTTAAAAAAAACCTCTGAAATACGTTAGTGTGTGTACTGCTGCTTGTCACTTAGGGCGAAATGAGACGGCCTCCCTGCCAACAAGAGTTTCAAGCCATTCAGTGGTTGATTGCATTATGGCTTTGTTTTTCAGCTAGACAGTAACGCACATCTGTGCAAAGTAGCAGCAGTGACGCCTGCCAGAGCAGTCTCGATAGGCTCAGGCGTAATTAGCAACCATAGCCGTGATGAACGGACGGGGCGTGTACTAATACGAAGCCATGAGTAGTTATTGTTGAAATCCACTTCCTCTCTTGCAGATGAGCAGCCGTTCGATTGCGAAGAATGCGGCTGTGTTTTCACCAATGCCGCCGCGAGGGACCACCACCGCGCCATGCTGAAGTGTGGTGGTAGACACCCTCCATCGCGTTTCATCGGAGCCCATGATACCGACACCATCTTGAAATAGTTCATTGAATCCTCTCGAAACACAAAACATTTGCACTTCTGCGTCCAGTCTCCACTCATGAGTTTGAAGAAACTTCCGGAGCTTGATTACAGTGGACGTCCTCTGTTATCAAAGAAAACTATAACTCTTCTTCGAGCAGAATACGTGCAGGTGCAAGTTTATCCAACGTAGGTCGATAGAACAGGACTCCAGGTCGATAGAACAGGACTCCATTTCAACCAGTTATGGGTCTATACTGGGTTGGGCATTGCTTTAAGAAAGTTGCGCCTGCGTTATGTTTAAATCTCCAAAATTTCAGTATTTTAGGAGAGTAGAAGACGACAGGCTTGGGGGAATTTACTGGAAGAGTGCACAATGGAATACTTGTTTATCCTTCTTGCTGAAAAGACTTCGAGACAGCAAGAATAATGAATATGCTGGTTGACCAATGTTATCTTGTTTTTCACATAAAAAGTCTCTGCCTTTGAGGACGTTAAATATTCAGCATTTAATGACGTTGTGTGCTTAAGTAAAATTCGGTCTTATAATGTTATCGTGTAGAGTAAAACCCACCAATCGCCTGTTTTTATACAATGCATTCTTGTTCCTAGTAGCCTTATCGGAAAAGAAGTATGCTTGCTTTGAATACAATTGAGTGAAATTCCATTTTTGATGAACGATCAAATTCAACTGAGTGAAATTCCATTTCTGATGAACGATCAAACTCACCTGCCCACTGCACTTAGATTCACAATAAAATTGGCAGACCAACTAACATTTTTTTTGCATTATAGAGCATTTAAACTGCAGCTGTAGCCCACGTTCAGTCTAAACTTTGTTTTCCTTGGGTTTCTGTTGTAAATATCGATGTAAAAACTTTTAAGATAATTACTCTTTGTAAACGTGTTTAGTCTGCAAGAGCTAGGTACAATAAAGTTATTTGTCAGTGCAGAATTATTCTCTCATCGCACTTGAATCCTTATTCAATTCTGAAAAGGACAAACCTCAAAATATTATTAGCAAAAGGAAGATGAATACCTCTGGCTTCGTCATTAAGGTTTACAAAAGAATTTACAGCTTACACTGGAAACTAAGCCCTTCAAGCCACCAATACGACAACATAATATATAAGTATATGTATATTTGACATGTGACCAATATTCTCAGTATATATACATAAAACAATGCATGTATATTCACACAGCAGCATAGTGATATACAAATTATATAATAATCTTCAATATATTTGACATTGAGTCTAACACAGTTTACATATGCGTTGTTGTTGTTGAAAACCCATATTTATTTGCTATCTTTGTAATAATAAGTGCCATCCATCAGATGTTTGGTCTACATGTACTTGAAGTGAGGGTTACACTAGTAAAGTGAAGTCAATATTCACACCGTTAATCAACATTTTGTTTCAATCCTACCGGCGCTGCCTTTAGGCTTTACAAATAATTTGATAACCTTCTTCACTCCGGTGTCACAAAACAAAATCACTTAATGGGTTTGGTGACAAACCTGATCCTTGAATGTTTTCAAAGGGTCAGGAGATTGATCGCGTTTCCGTCTCGAGTGCTGGCGGCGAATCGATGTCATTCCACGGAGAAATGTTGCTGTCTTTGATTGGTTTAAGGAAAAGAATAAATTTGTTGTATGAAAAAGACACATTTTATCATGTTGCGGCACGTACTGACCAAGGATAACTTTATTTACTCCAATTTCCGCCCTTTTCCTCTTGTGAGATGCAAAAGGTAAAAGAGAAAAATCGTCTCGACAGTTTATCTTTGAATTCCGTCTAAATTAATCAACCGAAAAAAATAAAATTATTCGTTACTTTGCATTATAAGCATTCCTCGGACCCTTTAATACCTCCTGTGATAAATTTCAGACGTTAGGCCTCTTTGTCATGGACCGGGTCATGCATTTGCTGGGTGATCATTTACCGCAGTGCTGGCGATTCGCTCTCTCTTCAGTTCAGTACCCTTTTTGGTCAGAACTCAGTCGCACGGACGCCATTGACTAATGGCACGGATTTTCGATTTATAGCACATGGCATATGCCAAGTAACGGCTCATTAAACTCCGGAGATTTCACAAGTATTGCATCGAGAGCTGTAAGAGATCAATTACGGAAACATCTGGAACAAATGGGAACATGAATGTTTCAAGAAGATCTCTGGTAGACATTCCGTCGTTGAGGCAGCTGCACCATAATTGCGTAGTTCATAACCGCTTTGTCCTATTCAAAAGTATTCTTTCCATTTACAAAGATATTCCTGTCCACCTCAAGCTTTCCCACAGTAAAAATACTAATATATATTTGACAAATTCAAAGCAACGTATTCATTTCGGTATTTGGAAAGTGATGATTTGTGAGAGTGTTTCAAAACCTATTCGTATTGCCTATCCATGTTTCTTTATTCGGTGCGTTTCGCACGCAATGCGTTCACGCGTTTCACTTTCACGGACACAAAGGGTGCGTTCGATTAGCTTCCCTGCACATACTAGTGTTGCACTCAAGGGAAGCCTCAAAATGAGGCTTATCGAACGCTGCAGTGTGTTTTCCAAGGCATTCTGGGAAAAAGGTCAAGTCCCCGCCACGTTCCATCATGTATGTCCATGCTCAAACAGTCCATCCGTGACGTCATTACACTCGGGCAGCCTCCAGAGACCCCCCTCGCCAGCTGGGGTAGTGGTGGCTGACACCAGGGCAGGCACGAACATCACGTGATCGCTAAACGAACGCTCTCGTGTAAGTTTGACTTACACGTGTAAGCTAATCGAACGCACCCATAGATCGGCTCCATTATTAACATAACATATGTGTGCGTTGCGTTTGGCCGTCAAAATCGCCCTGGGAGCGTCAAAATCGCCCTGGGAGCGATTTTGACGGATACGCAACGCTCAGCGTAAGTGTTGACGCGCATTGTGGAAAGGCGCCTTTTGTCTGTTTGGAAACAAGGCTGAAGTTTAGAACAGGCCATTTATAGACCCCGCATGCTACATTGTGTAAACGCAGACTTATCTCGAGTGCCTCCTCGACAATTTCAGCCATTATCACCCAGGACGTGGCAAAAGATGTTTTAAAATAACGAGGGAATTCGGTCAAACCCAGAATTGTAGTGTCAGGATCCATCTCCCCCCCCCGATCCCTTTAATCTCAACGACGGTTACTAAACGTGCATGTACATGTAAATGGATTTACGTCCCAGTGTTATGCCGTGGCACGCTTCTACCGTAGAGCAAGGATCCTTGCTCTATGCTTCCACCGACGCCCAGCGAAGGACATCACTCCAGTCCATCAGACGAGCGTTGCACCGGTGTGACCTGTATTTACACAGCTAATGGAAGCACTTTCCACGTACGACTGAATGTTCTCGACCGTCGGGAAACGAACACGACTCAGTTTTGTTTCGCCTTTTCCCTTCCTCTACTTCAGTCAGAGTCATCCATCGGACGTGCATTATTTATATCTGTTATGGTGGAAGACCTCCAGAGACCAAGCCAAGTGGACTGAAGAGCAACCGTAGTACCTGTAAATAAAGACCGTGTGATTATATTGCCAGCGCGGCAACTTATGTTGAGTAGTGCTAAAAGCGACTTGAACTATGCACATTGTGCTTGGGCATGGGTAACACGCGTCTAGTGAGTGTCCTTTCAGCTACAAATTGCTAGGTCTAGATTGTCAACGATAGGCTTAATGCTCCATTTCCTTCGGTTGGTTCTAATTATTCAGACGTTGCCAGCCCTCTAGCCGCTAAAGTGTCAGCTGCCAACTTCATAGACAACTCAGTGTGAGTATTAAGAAAGGCATCGTGTAATTGATAATTAATATTTTGTTTACAAAGTACATACTATATACTCCGCTGAAGCCATCTTCCCAAATCATACAATCAATGCATAGATGAGACTCAACGCTGGAACACCCTTTGAAAAAGTGTCAAGGAAGTGGGAAGTGTCGAGCCGTGGGCTACTTGCAAAGGGTAAAAAGCTGGAGAAAGGACTTCGCTGGATGAGTTAAGCGTTTGAATACTTTGTTGTCATGTTTGAGATTGGATTTTCTTGAATACCACCCTCTGCTTGTTGAAGATTTCCACTCCTTTTCGGTATAACAGTTCGTCTGCTCGCAAGATCTTACGGATTTCCGGATCCTTCCGAAGTTCAAGCAACTGCTTTTCCGCTGAAGGATCGGTCGTTGGCTGGTGCCCGGCGATAGTCCCGTTGGGTTCCATTGATTTCGACACGTTGATGGGGTTGCTGGTTTTGTTGTAGGAACCAGCGTTGTAGCGCCTTCCGGCGCACCGATCGTACATGGGCAGTTTCAGGGCTTGCTGTGCCATTTGCAGTGATTCGTCGTAGTGGTCTACCAGCATGATGACGGTAAACCAGCGTTCCATGTTCTCCAGGCAGTACTGGAGTAAAGCCTCGTGCAGAGTCTCGTTTAAAGTCAGCTCCATGATGAGTTTCTGTCGGAACCAACAGGGGGCGCTCCTCAGCCAATCTTGCTTCATCACGAAGTCATGCGGAACGCCTTCGATGTCGATGTAGCGCATCCAGCGAGTCTTGTCGCTGCAGAACACTGGCTGGAACAAGAGCTGCCTGAAGAAGAAGCTGCCTTGGTGCAGAGCCCATTCGTGAAGGGACACCCTGCGAGCAACCTGGGCGGAGCAGAGTTGATCCTGTCGTGCGTGCTTGCAGTACGAATGGGAAGACAGCGTCCGCTCGTACGGGTCCCGCATAACGGTGAAGTAGGCGCAAGGTTTCTTGTATCGGTCACAGAGTCCGAAAGAGTACCCACCAAAGTACACGTTGGGCGTACTCCGCATCTTGAATCGCCTCTTCCGCATGAAACGAGCCTCTACGGCCAGCCGTCCTTCGCTACTCAACACGGGCCCAACCGTCCGACCCAGACTGGCGCCTGCAATGTCGGACAGACACCTCTTGGTCGTTGTACCAGCCGCTTTGTTGTGGTGCAGGTAAACGAGGACGCTGTGTGAGTCGAAACGCATCGGCTTGTCCTCCGCTGCAGGCGACAGCGACGCATTGTCGTAGTTGAGGAAATAGTTTGGAATGAAGTTCTGCCTCACAGGCCACGGGAACGGCTCCTCGTGCCGTTTTACGGCCATCTTGGCCTGCCTCAGCCGGCCCAGTGAATTGACCCCCGACAGTTCGCTGATATCTCCAGGTGGCCTGGCGGGCTTAAAGGGAAATTCCCCTTCCTGTGTGACTTGATCTGAGGACGGAGGGGGTGGCCAAAGAGCACCATTTCTGCGAAAATAATTGTAATAACAAAAGGAGACAAGGAAATCAGTACCGATAATCTTTACACTTCCAAGGTTTAAACCTTTGCACCTCTACATACGTGTACTTGTCGTTCGATCGGAGGTTTTTTTGCTGCTGAAAAATCTGATGAGATTAATGTATTCGGTGTATTCACCCACCAATGAATACCAAGGTCCTATGTACTCATTTGTGCTGTTATCAAGTAAGTCAAAATGTATGCTCAATGATGCACAATGCCGGTTCATGAACTTGTAAATTATAAAATTCACATTCAAGTTGGTTTCCCAAGTCGAAAAGTACAACGTGCCTGGAATTAGAAGCCGGATACTTGACGTCTGTCACATGACACATTCGGTTATGAATGCCTCCACTGGGAAGGAAAGGGTGTGATATGGAGAAGACTGCATATTATTCTCGGATCATGAGACGCGGGTCCGACGGCTTTGGCATGAAGAATAATCACCATCGTTAATGACCTTGCCTTTTCCCGATCGCCTGCGCACAGGAAGGAATTTTTAGGGGGAGGGGTCAGGCCGGAGATTCGTTTTTAATGTCTCATTTTTGCGGACAAGCGGGAACGAAGATGAAACATTACATGAACATAATTGTTGACAATGGAATTGGTGCACTTACCTTTGTACACATTGGTTTTTTATTATCATTTCCTCTTCATTTTTTCACCTTGGGTCTCGGAGCGGGGGGGGTTGATCCCCCCCGGATCTGCGCCTGGTGCATTATGCATATGTGCACTGATTCAGTGCCAAAAACAGTGGTCAGCAAAGGAACAGTTGAACTCACCAGGAGCACTTTCGGAGTTTAAAATTGACGTTGTAATGCTGCTAAACTTTAACATCTAATTGGCAAAGTTACATCAAATTACCACAGGATATTTCCACAAAAACTCTATGCGAACTACGCACCTCATTCACAATCAATGGACGTTTGAATATCTGTCTCTACTTAAAACTACTAGATACTTTGAGGGGCGCATTCAGCAAAGGTAGGTTTCATTAAGGAATTGACGTTTTGTAATTTGAAGTATTAATAACCGGAAGCATTGTAAGCATTTGGAATCAAGTAACAGGTGTTGGAAGTGTGGCCATTGGTATGCCGATTTCACGACGCGCAGGTGGGCAGCGAATAGTTGCGGATACAGATGGGGGGCTTCGGACAAGAAGCCGCCTGCGTCAAACAGGATATGGGTAGTGACCAGAACGAGTGATAGGAATGCTGATATCCACTGCCAAATCTGAAGTGAGAAGGCGATAACTGGTAACCTTAAGGTCGATGGTTCCAGATATTAGTTAAGACACGACAGTCACTGGAAAGGACAGGACATATTGCCAGACGAGACAAGGTAAGAAAAAACAAAACCGTTTCGGTCTCTCGTGAATGGGCGAAACCATTAGATCAAGCTTCTCTAACTTCTTATTGCTAGCATTTGGAAACTCGATTAGATAGATCGTGGTAAATTTGAGACGCTGTCAGTAATTTGTAATTTACAGTCACCCGCACGTTCTAGCCACGACGCAAAACTTGACAGAGCAGTTTGGTCTGTTGAAGGTGTCAAAAGTTAACCAACAGGACCCCTTTAAAACGTGTAATCAGCGAGCAGAATGGACTCACCGACCAAAGAAAGCAAAAAAAAAAAAATGTGGCTTATGTTGTCTTTGTTTTGGCCAGCCGTCGCATTGATATTTCAATCAGCGACGGCGGGACCGCAACAACACCTCACGCTCAGCCCGCAGATGTAATTCCATCTGATCACAGTCTTGGCTGGAGGCGCGAGCAACGTTTCCATCCCACTTCTGCGCCATGAAGAAGGCAGAGGGTTTAACGGAGCATGCCAGTCCTTGCATCATTTTAATCTGGATGAGTCACACGAGGATAAAAAAAATCAGAGATGCTTGTCTCATTAGTTGAGTTCCTATAAGTCTTTGGCTGGTAGACAAGAATAATTAATACCTTTTACTTCTGCTAATTGATTCTAAAGCCACACACACAAACTACAAATTGTTTACGCCGAAATGTATTTATCGAAATACATTTTCTCGTTTTTCAGTTACTGTAATTTTGTTATTTAACAGAAATATTAGTTGTTCTTTTTCATGGGACGATTCACGTTTTGGAAACTGGGTACTAGCAACACACACAGCTGTCTGAGCAATGCATGTAACCGTTTCTCGCAAGACCGCAGAACATTTTACACATAACCTTTTTTCATAGTACGTGATATCAACAAAGAAGGCGTGTGATTTCCCAATATCTTTAAACTACAGGCCTAGATATGACATAAAATGATGTACGCAGACTTGGGCGGTGGTTTAGTGAATGTCATTGTATTTGTGGAGCCTAGACCTAGAATGGCAAGCACATAGAGAGAAGCACTGACGTGTCGGGTATACTCCAAAATGATTTTTTTTCTACACAGTGTCTTTAAGAACACGAAACACTTTCCGTACAGCGTATTCTGAGAATACGAATCGTGGCTAGTACGCGAGGCATGTACGTGGGCTGGACTAATGCAAGACACGAGGCACGTCAGCGAAGGATGTCACTGGGGCAGGAGGCGAGAAGCAATTGGTAGGCATGCAGTCGATCCCCGGAGGGCAAATTGGAAAAAAAAAGGACGGTGCACCACTTTGTCAAAATGTTACTCTTGGGAGAGACCGAGCCGTGCATGGCAGCGGATGTTTCCGACTGATTGATAAAACCTCTTTTTGGCCGACTAGTTTTGCAAAATGCAATCACTAACGAATCATACAATTTCAACCCAAGATCGGTCGATTAAATCAGAGCCATACGCTTACGAAATCGTATCCATTTGATTGAATCAGTAATATCGAATGGCAATATCAGAAAATGAAATACAAGCTGTTTATACTTTCCATCTAGATTATAAACTGTTCTCGCAAACAAACATGCATTTCTCTTGCCTCATACTGTTCCAGATAAACAGTCCCTCAAGAAATAGACCAACTTACTCGTGCGTGCTAAACGTCGATATCTTTTTGCGGAAGTGCTAAAAACATCCTTCAGTGCACTTTAAGGAATTGCTCCGGTGACTCCCCATCTTCAGTAAGCAGAGTTATATTTTGTTCTTGTCTTTTTAAGCTATAATGCTTCTTCCCCGTGCAGCTCCTATACCGCTGCTATATTGATGCAGTAACTGATGCTCTTAACAGTAGGCCTACCGTATGGAGATACCGGAACTGCAGTTGTACCGAACACAGGTGTTCCTTTAAACTTGACGAGGGCGTACATTTGGCAAGTCCTACCACCTGTCCACGATAGTTGTGCCACCGCAATATTGGCTTCTGTTTTTGAGAAGCGCACAATAAACGTACAGTACATGCAGGTCTAATACAAATCCGCACCAATCCCCGTCAGCTGATTGGTGGATCATTGACCACATGTCATTGAATTATTTGTTCTATTTAACGGGCACCGTCGAACAAGACTCCCTTCCCTTGCCTGGTTCCCGCCCCATTCACAGTAATAAAGAAGATATTAATGTAGGGATGAGAACTATAGTTTGACATTACACGAAACTACCGTGCTTGAGACATCACGAATCTGTTTCGCAAAACCGTGATCAAATGTTAATACGCAAGGACCGTTAAAGGAACCAGGAAATAGAAATATGTTAGTAAATTTTACTAAAAACCCTTGAAATTGCATCTTTGGGTTTCAATTAACCTTATTTTAAATTTTGTTTTGCAATTTTAACCCATATTTTGTTTTTTTGGGGTTTATGCTAATAAAATTTGCATATTCATGAGCAGAACTATGATGTCATCCAAGGTACTGAATCTCAATGTTGCACCGATTTGTGCACAGAAAATGTCTAGATTTTTCTTACCACTGCTATAGCAGGTTTCATTATTGCTATGTGAGTATATGGCAATAATCCAGCAAAAATCCTTTTCACAGAAATGTTCCAAACATGCAACCATGTCTGCCTGGATTTACATCAAAGCAAAAGCTCCCCCACTTGTCCAGAAATGCTTGGACGATTTTTAATGTTTGAAAAGTGCACTGTTCAGTTTACATAACTCAAAAAAGATGTCAAGCAGTCTTCACGGAAGAAGAGTACAGAGATACACAAAAAGTGATTCTAAGAAAAATTCATTTCCTGGATCCTTTAATTTGTTCTCTGAACAGACACGGTTTTATGCACGTATTGTACAAACAAATATGTTTCGCATTCATGCAATGGTAAGAAAAATATTTTATTCTGTGGCATTCGGTCATTTCACTTCACATTTCTATCCAAACAGGCCCAACCAATTCAATACCATGAACGTATACCGCCTAATCGCAAGAGTCTTTAAACAGTCTTATTTCTCTTACTTTCTTACCTCCAAAAATCTTTTCACACACTGTTAACCAGATCTGCTCAGTGTGTTTAGGAGGTAATTGTGCGCAACTGTAATGGCGAATTCGTCCGCAAAAAAGCAATTGCATGCACAGCACCGTCGGGCGCAATCCCCGATGCCTCTCCGTCACCACATCTGATATCGAAAAATCGTTAAGCGGAAAGGCGATTGGGACAGTTCTGGGGCAAGCTTTCTAACCTCACCTTTCTCTTCCCGCACAGAATGACAAATATTGTGTCTGCCTCGACTCTGCGAGTTATTGACTCTGGTTTCTCTGCCTCGAAGAATCGCCCGAAAACATTCCCGATTTTTTTCCACTGGAGAACTCCCTTTACATAATTACAAAGGGCGGCTGATTTTCATCCAATTTGGCAAGAAGAGGCCGAGTGAATCTTGCGTGAGATTGGTCTTCCTTCATAAGGAATCTTAAGGCTCCATCGAAATAGGTTTGCCTTAGAATTAGTTTGTATACTCTTCTACAAGCCGATTGCTTCTTGATATATTAGTCAAAATCAACGTGGTCCATGATTTGAACTTCGAGTGAGAACGTTTCGTTTCGTTTTCAAGAGGCAATCTTACTTCACCGCAATATCACTATGTTCTCTTAGACAGAGTATATACAAGGACACATCTTGACAGAATCCTAGCTGATTTTAAAATAAATTCGAACTGGATTATACCTTTGATTGCCATCAAGTAACAACACAATGATGCTGGTTTTTTGTCCTTTAATAATCCAATTGCGTTGATGATTTTACATGAAATTACTCACTATTCAACAGAGCGCAACCGCTCGTTCGCCCCAGTCCCCCAAGGCATTCGAAAATGATAATTTAGACCCAGAAATGGACTGACTACGTAAATAGCGCATGGTGAAGTTCTATGATTTGCTGCAAGGAAAAGCTCCATTGACGTGTCCAGAATAACATCGTGCCATGCAGCCATGTACATGACGTAGCTATCCAATGATTTTAAAGGTTTTAAATTAGATTTAGAAATTCAACTGTAAGATCAGCTGAAAACGTGAAAGATATTTGGGGCATACTTATAATAGAAATCAAACTCGGCACCCCCTTCTTTGAAATTTTGGTAGCAGTTGAGTTTTGTAATTTGGTTTTGTTCCGTTTTCTTATGTAAAAAAGGTCAAACCAAAAGGCCTCCAAAATTCCCTTCTGACGTGGCTGTGCGAGACAGCTTTTGAAATGGCTATTTTTACCACTCCAAGGTGGCCTGCATCGCTACAGGAAGACCGTGAGTCAACAAGAACGCAGAAAACGGGAAAGGCTTTGTCAAGAGGCTTTTGCTTAAAAACACATATTTTCTACGAGGTGAGGCACGGGGAAAGTCACCATAAGACGCTACGCGTTGTTGTTGCTGGCAGAAAGGTTCGGTTTCCCTGAAGTCCTGTATCAATATCCCACGGCATCGTGCGCACTGCAAGTTATCAAACATTGTGGAACGTGTCTGAAAAGGTTGTTGTTTTGGTTTGTTTTTCTCAGTATACCTTTGGAATTTACACTCATTGGATTTTGCAACTTGTAAGTTGTAATTCTACAGTGCTTAGGCCTGCTCTTGGAACGAGACAAATATAATACAAATAAAAATTATACGAAATGACTTTGCACACAAGAGAGAAAAATAATGTCTAAGGCACTGACTCTTCCATAAAATAATACAGATGATCTTTTTAGGTTAGTGGTAAGTGGTGAATGTGGGTCGTTTGGCGGCTGGCTGAGGCGCCCTTGTATGCCATCGGCTCAACCATGTTTAAATGTATTCATTGTTCCATGCTTA